ATATTTCCATATAGGCTAATGGCCATCCACACAGGCGTCTTGTCTTCCTCTCTGTACTCATTTTTACATCATCATGACGTTTGGCTCAAAGTCTGTTCTGAATAAAAAGCCCTCTATGGTGAACAGATGCACCAGAAACCTCGAGAATTTCATTCCTCGTTTTCATCTAAAATGGTCTGAGGGGCTGATCAGAAGACTTGAATTGCAAATGGATCTCAATTATTTCTTACTGCATTAATAATAAGCCATTTTTTCATAATTGTGACAACTCTGTGTGTGCATGTGTGTGTTTCACCTGTGCTTCCCAAAGGGCCCAGCTCGATGTCCTCCAGGCAACAGTCTGAATTTCTCCAGCACCTCAGCTGGTTGCCTGCAGTTATAGCAGATGCCTGCAGATGTTGAGAAGTTGAGTGTTCCTCTCGCAGCATCTTTGAACCCTGCATCACCGCTTTAAAGTTTAGCATGATATCATCTTGCGTCAGCCGCTCCAAAGCTGCATCATAAGGGTAAAACATCACCCACTAAACACACACACACACACACACACACACACACACACACACACACACACACACACACACACACACACACACACACACACACACACACACACACACACACACACACACACACACACACACACACACACACACACACACACCTGTTAAAAAAAAACACAAATCCATCAACATCAAGCCATCTTAGCGCACCATAAATGAACTGAACTTTTGTGCTCAACATAATAAAAAAACTTAAACAAGTTTGTAACAAGCGGAGGATGAGTAAACGATGACTGTATTTTCATTTTGGGGTGATCTGTCCCTTTAACCCTTGTGCACTGTTCAAGTTGACCTGCTTTTCATCAGGTTTTGTTAGGTTTTTGCCACATTGACTTATCACTATAACCACACTTTTTGACTGCAATGCCATGACAGCATGTAAGGGTGGGAACCTAGCATAGAGGGAATCTACCACACAAGTTTAAATGATTCAACTTGACCAAAAAACACATTTAAGGTGAAAATAATCCAGTGAGTAAACTAGACAGAGTGACATGCTGCTAGGCATTTGGTGTGAATCCAAAATTAGACATGTCATTAAGCTAATGTGTATTTTAAATTTGCAGTATGCACTATGTGTCTCCACTGTTGGCTGTTATATAATAAAAGTTAATCCAAATGTACTGTGTAGGGCTGCATGATATAGGAAAAATTGAACATCGCAATGCTATTATTCTTCAATGAATATTCATGAACAAAACATTATTCACCAGATGACATAATTAGACGAAATGGGATGATTATGTGGAGAAGTGCATCTGCATATAATATAAACTATCTACAAGCATAGATCAATACAATGAAATGAAAAAAAAAAAAAACATACAATTGAAATATTGGTTTATCGTTTTCCGAGTCTAAGAGTATTCAGGTACAGTAATTCCATAATAAAAACAATTCATTACAATTCAGTACAATTTCTTATGCTTAAATGTTTTAAAATAATTATACACTTACAGGCCTCAAAATCACATGGAAATGAAAAACTACCATCAAGGCATAACTTTGCATATCCTGCGATGTGACTTTTGCAAAAAATCACATTGCGATATTGATGCTGTAACATATTGTGCAGCCCTAGTACTGTGGATGTCTAAATACCTATTATTTCACATTTCTTGGGTGTTTACACAGAGAGGATAACTGTGGCATAAAAACTAATTCTTTGAAACATGTTTTGAGGCTAAAGCATGTAAAATGGAAAATGCAAAAAAGAATATTGAATTTAAAAGAATCCAAAAACTGAAAAAGTGCTTCTGCAAAACAAGTTGAATCTGACTGAAATATTATTTAACACATCTAATAAAAATTATAAAAACACAATATAATTACTGTAATCTAAAAAACTATATAAAAGGCAAACACATATGGAAAAGAAAATATAAAAACTGAAGTAAATCAATTAGTTTTCATTCACCAAAATAAAAGAAACAAACATTACAAACACTTAAAAAAAGTAGTATGCATTAATAAATTTGACAAAACCAATAAGGAAATACTAAAAGATCACCTAAATGAAAATGAAAAAGGAAAATCTATTAAACTGAATTCCAAATTTACATGAAGAACCAGTGTTTATTAATTCCAATAAATTGTGTTTCCTTTAAGTCAATGAACTAAAATTGAAAGAGGACAAACAACACAATATTACAATATTAATTAAAATGACAACATGAATTCTAAAGGTTTTGATAAAATGTGAATTTATCTCAGTAAACACAGACTCTGGATCAGTGCAGAATGACCTAATGGACATGTCAGAGATTCAACATTATCTTAGAGTCCAAAAAAAAAAATCCATCAAGGTGACCCACAACATCACCACAACATCAATTGGGGAAAAGTTTTTTTATTTTATTTTCACACATTCAGACTTTCTGCTTAATAATATAGTTTAAGAAAAGTATTGATTGCAAATTCTAAATAGGGAAATCACATTATTAGCCAATGACTTTCAAAGTACAACATTGTTTACAATCCATTATATAGTGCTGTGCTGAAGTTACACATGTGATTTCAGACCCAATATTCAATGGAGCGGTAAGCAATAGCAAAGTCCCTTTTACATTCTATACTACAGTCTTTGGCATAATCATATATTGTGTTACAAATTGTCATTGTCCAAAATTGAATGAATGCGCAAAATAAAACCAACTTTACCTCAATACAACATCACTAATCCGGTACAGTTAATGTTTAATTCAACATTCACTCCACCATCACTGTCTGGATGATGATTTTTAATGTCCAAATGCATCACAAAAACTCTTTAAAACAGTCTAAACAAACTGTAGAGTAGCAGTTTCTCGTTTATGCTAAACAATTCAATTTAAATACGAAGCTAATGTTTTTACGGGCTAAACTTTTCTCCATTCAAGCCGGGCTGCAGGTTAATTAGCATCACCGATCACGTTGATCAAAAACACAAACAAACATACCTTTTGTAAGCCTGCTTTACGGATGGGTTTCAATCCTCTGGTGTGATTTGTGGATTCAGATGTGTCCAGACTCCAAAAAGCGATTTAGGAGGTAAGTAGTGCAAAAACAATTTATTGCTGCAGTTACATGGTACGTTGTTCATATTCTCCTGGATTTTGTACACATGTGGTGGTCATCTTTTAAAGTATATGGTGGTGGTGTTTGTATCTGATTTTTATATAACCCATATATTCTTCCTTTCTTTTAGTTTCTTGAACTTTTTCCCCTTTATGAGCAAAAAGTTTTGGAAGTCTATAAGCTGTTTGGCATTTTTTATTTTGGCCGATTTAAACAGTTATAAACAACATAAAACAGAAACATTTTGATGTTCTGATTTCTATTGTATGTAGAAGGACATACCCTTTTCACAATGACGTCACTTTACATTCCTCTATCGGTAACGCAGTGTATTTTAAGTTTTCGTGATAGAGACTTCTCTGGAAAATTTACAACTGAAAACATTAACATTCCACATTGTGATTTAAGTCTGTTAAAGTACTGGAGATGTGTCCAAATGTTTCTCTTTCAATACTGAACTGCTTTCTGTGTTTAAAAGTGATTGTTTATGTTATCAAGAATAGGAGATGAGATGATATATGATAAGAAATAAAATGATATGTTTGCAACCTTTTCACTTATTTATTTGGTTTATTTCCTCAATAATTGAGTTTCTTTTACTTTGATCCTGCTATTAATATAAATGTATATTATTTCTTATGTGAATGTTCCAGCATTAGTAAAATTCTTTATTACATTTCCTCATATTTATTATTTACTAATCCATAAATGTTTATTTCAGTTTCTCCGTTTGAATGAATTAAGACCTTTAGACAGTGTGATGCTATCACCTACAGGGTGGTTTTAATTTAATATCTGTAAACCTTTTATCCTAATCAATAATGTTAGAAATAATTTCATTATCTAATAATACTACATTTTAATCTTAGAATTAAAATGCAGTCTTCTTATTGTTAGAAAACCACCATAGTGACCATCTAACCATATCTGTAGTAAATATACAGCTGACTGGTTCTCTATGGGGAGCTCTGTTTGTTTTACCTTTATATAGGTAATTTATTCATTAATTTACATTAAATAGGCTATTTTATGACTCAAACGTTGTTTGTAGGCTCAATTGGGGTGTTTTGTCTATGTTGATTAACAGCTACACTTCTTTTCGTTCAATATTTTGATAACACATTGATGTTTTAGCTTTCTGTCTCCAAGATTGCAATGCAGTTTTCTAAAATATCTAAATTGGACAATTAAAATGTGCTGTAAAAAAAGTGTAGGTTAATAACCATTTTATTTTTTACTGCAGCCGAAATAAACTGCTGGTTTTGTCTGGCCAGAGGAGAACTGCACAATGTAAAGCTGCAACTGACACAATAGAATTGTATAAAATGCAATATATGTTAATCCTATTTTGGAGTCCATTCTGCAGTCGATTCCACCCACTCCAAAATTAGGAGTCAAGAAAAAAACCTGCAACCGAACACCCCTAGCCACCACAGCATGTGCTGGTTTCTTTTTTATACGCATGTAAAAAATACCTAGTAAGTAGATGATTTCTTTGTTAGTCAGTTTGCAATTCCAAGTGGATTACTATAGTTCACCCAAAATGAACAATTCTCATCATTTTCTCAGTCAAAAAATTATATTTTGAAGAATGTTAAAAAACTTTGACCATTGACTTCCATAGTAGGTAAAACAAATACTACTATACTATACTATACTATTCTATACTATACTATACTATACTATACAAACAGGCCACATCCATCAAAAAGAAGTTCCCTTACTTTACCATTAGGTGGTGGCCAAACTGCACGTAATAGGCCTACTCTGACCACCCTTCACAATGACGGTTGGTCAATGCTATGGTATAATAATGTGGCATGTCGATGTTATTAGCGATTTTAAAGTTATGAACTCATTTTTAAGCTATAAAGATGACATGAAGAGATTTATTACTTTTATTACATGTTTCAAACAGGATGTCAAACAGTACAAAGGGGCATGCTAAAGGCCATTGTATTATTTGGAGATAACTCAAAAAGAGGTTTCATTCAGTATAAATCATTCTGTTAAAAGTATGTAAAAAAGTATATTCCAGCAGAAGCCAACGGGATACATTCTCTTGATTTCAATACAATACATGATTAGATTGGCAAACTTTAAAGGCAGGACAGTAGATTTAAACACTCATCAGCATGTGCTCTGTCATTTTCCCAGACTCAACACGAGGAGAAGGTCTTCCAGAAGAAGAGCTTGCACGGAGACTTATCTTTAGAAGGTTTATCAGACTTCTCCCACAGTTTGCCATTCAACAATTCAGCGTCAAGATCAGCCAGTTCTTTACTGGTGAGGTTCAGCTCTGCCACATATGTTATCATCTTCAACCCATCCTCTTCCTTGGACAGTATCTAGAAGATAATATACATTTCTGTGGACTTGGGCATTGGATCACAGCTATTGATTTTTTACAGCAGTACCAGTATTAAAAGACTGCAGTACAGTTATTTTTAGCCAACAAAACAAAGAACCTAACAAATACTAACCAGCATGCATTTGATTTCTCTTTGAAATTCTTTAAATAAGAATCTCACCTCATTGGTTTGTGATTGTTTATCTTGTATAGGTAACGCCTCGCCATTCCAGATCACAAAGACCAGAGGAAACAGACTCAGCAGAACCCGCATGAGGAACATGCTTCTGTGGAAAACATCACGATTGTCCCATTTAACTCCCATTGTCATGTTTGAGAGAGGTACTGTACCTGCACAAAACAAATTGACGCAGTACGGTAAAGGTATGCCATTAGGATGTTCCCTCATTAGGTGACTTAGAGGGCAAATTAGTAGGCGTTCTTATTGCATGCACATTTTTAAAATAGGTACTTGTGTAATACTAAAAGTAGCCAAAGCAAATAAACCAATTGATTTCATACTTCTTTTGAAGAGTTATTTTTATGATTTTAACAAAAGCAATGCCCGCCTGCTCTAAAAGACACCTTGAAGTCACCTTAACACAACCACAAACATGCATAAAGACAAAACATGCTTGATTATATACATACATCAGCTCTTAAATGAAGTGTTGGTCTGTGGGATTTGTCGGTTCAGACTGCAGCATCTCTTGTTTTTGTGAGACCTCATCTGTAGTCTGACTCCTCCCCAGTCGATGCATAATTAATTGGCAGATGGGTCAAAAGAGGGTGTTCACTTCCCGTCTGGCTTTCTATGCGCTGAATCGCCACAATGAGTCAGCATCATTCGCCTGAGACTGGCACTCAGCTTTGGAGCTCTTTCAAACAATATATTAATACGTTTAGCGCATTTCACCGACTCTCTCGACGGCTGGAGCATTTACAAACATTTACTCAGCCTTTACTTGTTTCAAGCCTTTAAGAGTGTATTTCTTCTGTTAAAACACGAAAGAAGATATTTGGAAGAAAGTTGGAAACCTGTAACCATTGACTTTCATAGTGTTTGTTTTACCTACTGGAAGTCAATAGTTATGTTTTTTTAACAATTTTTCAAAATATCTTCTTTTTGGCTGAGTAAATGATGACATAATATTCATTTTTGGTGAAATATCCACAAAAACACAAGAAGATATTTTGAAGAAAGTTGGAAACCTGTAATCACTGACTTCCATGGTATTTTTTAAAATCTACTAGAAGTCAGTGGTTACAGGTTTTTAACATTCTTCAAAATATCTTAATTTTGGCTTAGAAAATTATGACTGTTTGTTTTGGGTGAACTATCCACAAGAAAAAGATATTTTAAAGAAAGATGGAAACCTGTAACCATTGACTTCCATAGTATTTTTTTTATCTTCTAGAAGTCAGTGGTTATAGGGTTTTAACATTCTTCAAAATATATATTTTTTTCGGCTAAGAAAATAATGACATAATATTCATTTAGGGTGAACTATCCACAAAAAAGAAGAGATTTTGTAGAAAGTTGGAAACCTGTAACCATTAACTTCCATAGTCATTTTTTATCTACTAGAAGTCAGTGGTTACAGGTTTTTAAAATTCTTGAAAATATCTTCTTTTTGGCTGAGAAAAGCATGACATAATATTCATATTTGTGTGAACAATCCACCAAAAGAAGATATTTTGAAGAAAGTTGGAAACCTGTAACCACTAAATTTCATAGTATTTGTTTTAAGTTCACAGTAAAATGAATATTATCTCGTTGTTTTCTCAGCCTTGTTTCCAGCCTTCATGAGTGTCTTTCGTCTGTTAAAACACAAAAGAAGATATTTGGAAGTTGGAAACCTGTAACCATTGACTTTCATAGTGTTTGTTTTACCTACAGGTTTTTAACATTCTTCAAAATATCTTCTTTTCGACTGAAAAAGGATGACATAATATTAATTTTTGGGTGAAATATCCACAAAAAAAGAAAAGATATTTTGACGAAAGTTGGAAAACAGTAACCAATAATTTTTTTTTTAACTACTAGAATTCCGTGGATAAAGTTTTATTCACATTTTATTAACAAATGATCAGATGTGCTCCAATATTAGACACATTCAACTCAAGACTTAAAACACATCTGTTTAGCTGTGCCTTTACTGAATGAGCACTGTGCTACGTCCGACAGATCACACTATTATGTCTTTCTTTTCTTTTCCATTCTTTTATAACCTGTTTTAACACATTTTAATCAGTTTTTAAATCAGTTATCATTTGCTATTTTCTCATACTCGTTTCATTTATTCTTGTTTATGTAAAGCACATTTGAATTACCATTGTGTATAAAATGTGATATAAATAAATATAAATATATAAAGATATAAATAAACCTGCCTTGCATTACAATGGAGGTCAATGGTTACAGGTCTTTAACATTCTTCAAAATATCTTCTTTTGTGTTCAACACAAAAAAAAAACTCATCAAGGTTTATAACTAGATGAAAGTGAGTAAATAGTGAGTACATTTGCATTTTGGTTGAACTATACCTTAAACGTAGGAGTGACATCTTTGCTCACACATATATGTTATAGGCACCTGCTGCTTTGTTTAGCTCTTGGATCTTTAAAGAGGTCGAAGGTGAATTAAGGATATCAGTGGAGTGTGAAATATCCAGGAGGAAATTCTATTTTTTTTTTATTACTACCTATTTACAGTTTATTGCTTGGTTTAACAGTACACATATCTTACACAGCAGAAAGCAGAGTAGTAGATATGTTTTTACTATCAAACAGTTACATGTGAAACAAAGTATTTGATTGTAAATGGCTACCAGCACAATACAGTGTCATCAAAACTATGTGATAAAAACCTATTAAATCTATATAAAATCAAACATAATTGAAACTATTTTTTAATCTCTTCAAATCTAAAATAAAATGGCCACAACATCTTAAATCATTTTAAAACTGGAAATGTCTTCATGCATTAATGTTGGCATATTTTTTTTAATCTCTAAAACAAAAGTAAAACACTTCTGAATAATGTTATTATTACTGAGTTATTATTTACATATAGAATAATTACAGAGTTATTAATTAACTTATTATTGAATATTATTCAAAATGGTATAATTTCTGGTTTATTAAAAAACACACACACACACACACACACACACACACACACACACACACACACACACACACACACACACACTTTACTGTTTAAAAATCAATACTTTTTTCTTGAGATAGCATCAATCCAAATTCACAAGATACTAAATAGGTCATAATAAAATATAGAAATAAATATTTAGCAATATACATTCATTCATTTTCCTTTGGCTTAGTCTTTTTATTTTTTGCAGGTCAACACATTATTTTTTGCAGGTTATTTTTTGCAGGTCAGTGGTATGAACTGCCAACTTATCCAGTATATGTTTTATACAGCAGATGCCCGGAAACACCCATACACTATGGCCAATTTAGGTTATTAAATTCATCGGTCCCACTTTATATTAAGTGTCCTTAACTACTATGTACTTACATCAAAAAATAAATACAATGTACTTACTGTGTTTATAATGTATTTGAGAACACGTGTGGTGCTTTTGAGTTAGGATAAAGGTTGGGTTATGGACAGGTTTGGTGGCATGGGTAGGTTTAAGGGTGGGTTAAGGTGTAAGGGATGGTCAACAGTGTATTTCCAAATGTAATTACAAAAGTTAATTACAGATGTAATTACATACATGTATTTAATCGAGCATAAGTACACAGTAAATACATATATTTACACAATAAGTACATTGCAACAAACTATTAATTCCTGTGTAAGTACTTATTAGTTAAGGCCACAATATAAAGTGGAACCAATTCACCTATAGCCAGGGCTTAATTTGTGCTGGAACAAGCTGGATCCGGCACCTCCTTTTACTGATACCTCTTCTCACACGCACCCCCTCCCCGCCTCGCCCCACCCCACTTTCTTTTGTGACTCCCCAACTCTCTTCACTTTCGTCCGCAACACCCACTTCCCCCTGAATTATTATTTGAATTTAGAAGAATTAGTTTTCGAGGAGGGCGACGCAGTGGCACAGTAAGTAATGCTGTCGCCTCACAGCAAGAAGGTCACTGGTTTAAACCTCAGCTGGGTAAGTTGGCGTTTCTGTGTGGAGTTTGCATGTTCTCCCTGCGTTCACGTGGGTTTCCTCCGGGTGCTCAGGTTTCCCCCACAGTCCAAAGGCATGTGGTACAGGTGAATTGGGTAGGCTAAATTGTCCGTAGTACATGAGTGTGAATGAGTGTGTATGGATGTTTCCCAGAGATGGGTTGTGGCTAAAAGGGCATCCTCTGCGTAAAAACATGCCAGATAAGTTGGCGGTTCATTCCGCTGTGGGGTACCCGGATTAATAAAGAGACTAAGCTGAAAAAGAAAATGAATGAATGAATGTTTAACAGAGCAAGGACAATTTCACAGTATGTCTGATATTTTTGTCTTCAGGAGAAAGTCTTATTTGGTTTATTTCGGCTAGAATAAAAGCAGTTTACAATTTTTTAAAATTATTTTAAGGTCAAAATTATTAGCCCCTTTAAGATATTTTTTAGTAGTCTACAGAAAAAAACATCATTATACAATAACTTGCCTAATTACCCTAACTTCCTGGTTAAACTAATTTACCTAGTTAAGCCTTTAAATGTCACTTTAAGCTGCATAGAAGTGTCTTGAAAATTATCTAGTAAATATTATTTCCTGTTGTCATGACAAAGATAAAATAAATCAGTTACTAGAGATGACTTATTAAAACTATTATGTTTAGAAATGTGAGAGAAATCTTTACGTTAAACAGAAATTGGGGGGGAAAAAAAATTATATATATATATTTTGGCCTTGCTGTTTAAAAATAAAATTCACAAATGATTGTTCCTTGAGATGGCATCAATCCAATTTCACATGATACTAAATATGTCAAGATAAAATATATAACAATAACAAGGGTTAAATATTAAACAAATGTTTAGTTACATATTTGTGAAATATTAATGTCAACTGACTGTTAGCAAGCAAATAATATGTAGATCCTGTGTATACGAGTTAATATGGTTTCATACTCGAAAAGATAATCAGTCATCTGCAAATGACATTAATGTAAACAAGTGCACAACAAAGAGTTTCTGCCCTCTGTTGGCGACTCATTAGAAGTACACACAAAAACAAGTTATATATCCAGCGTTTACTGTTAAAAATAGCAGGGTGAATCCAGTTCGCTGTAAACGGTGTGTGAGTGAAGAAGACAAAAGCTAATTAAAAAGGGATTGAAATCTTTATTTAGCCTAATGCAGTGCAATAGTCACCGTAATCCAGGGTTAACGCTGTGAACTCTGGGGGCAAAGTATGACTGGTTTACAGCAGGAAAAATCTCACACACTCGAAGATAGTGTGTTTGCAACAGTGCACCTTAAAACTACAAGAACGCAAGTGTACAAATAGTGTGTATACTATGATCTAGTATAAATAGAAATGTGTGTTTGAACACTCATTCAGTAAGAACTCCAGCTCTTCTGCAGGAATGTGATCAGCTGCTCTGGTCCTTCATCAAGAGGGGATGTTGTCTGCTGTTTTACCAATGGTGGCTTCTTGATTTTAGGCATTATAGGATGAAGATGACACTTTCCCACCGTGTCCTGTCCAGTTAGTGTGGATGAAAGTCCCAGGGTTTGATAGCAGCTCATACGTGTGCGCACCAAAGTAGTCTCTCTGTGCCTAAAGAGTGACGCAAAGTTTGAGGTGATGTTAGCTAATGTAGAGAGAAATGGCTAAAACAGCTGTTTAAGAGGAGAAGAGAGATTAAAATAAAATCAACAGAAATGATTCACAGGGCTGCTGAATTCTTGGAAAGTAGTGCCCCCATAACACCTTATTTTTCCAATAATATAACGTCTGGATCCAATTTTTCTGATGATAATATGGTTATTTTAGTAAGAGATGGTGTGCATT